GTTTGATTCGCAGAAGCATTGGTTAGGACATCTCTATAAAGCCTTCTTCTGTTTCGCGTATCATTTTTATCTCTTTCACTGCTTGTCTTCGCGTTCGATCCTGGCACTTCTGGTTTTATTCGTTCACTACTTCTTGTGATATCCTTTTCTCGTTTGGTATTAGAAGTTTTTCTATCATTTTTTTCTTCAAAATTTCTTAATTCCGTGACTAGAGTATTAGCAGTAGAAAAATCTTTTGTTTTTGATGGACAACTCTTATCCAGCCATTGTAGGACTTCGGATTCTGATTTGGAACCTCGATTTTTCCCTTCAATATAGTGAGAAGGCTTATGCTGCGTACTCTTTGGTTGTCCACGGTGAGCCTTCATTGCATTTTTCGTCAACAATATCAAATTTTTAAAATCAACGCCTTGGTTTTTTCTTTTTTGCCCTGTTTCATGATACAATTCTATAGGATGTTGATAAACAGGTATTGGTATAGGATTCGATTGTAAAAACTTGTCTTGCACCTGAAATATATCTTTGATTAATTCTAATTGTTATACGCACGAATAAAATATATGTTTTTTATTATTTTAAAATGACCGATTGTTTTCCACCTGTAAGGGATGATGAGTGATAGTAGTAGTTCGCAGAGGTTGTACAGAGGTACACATTGGCGTTGAGGAGGAGGTGGATATCTGTATTTGTGCCGGTGGTGGTATCCTTTGATACCATTGTTGCGGAGGTCGAATGAATGTTGTCGCATCGGTAGCTGACAGCAATGGTATACCCGTACTCTGAAATTCACAACTTCAGAGTATGTCTTTTTTTACTTTCTTCTCAAAAAACAAGAAAGAAATATAGATTGATATTACAGAAAAATATAAACACAATATGAATATAACATTACAGAATATTTCTATGAATTTTCAAGTACTGATGAAAAATTGAAATTAGAAAAAGAAAAAAAAATTAGAAAGATAAATTATCTCCAATATTGATATAAATAGTACCTGGTATATAGCTCCTGTATTTTCGTAAGTTCTGTTATAAGGAAACAATTCGTTTTGATAACTTCTCTCATTAAGGGATGGGAAATATTGTACGCGATTAACATTTTGTTCCTTGTTGCTGTTGAATCTTGTCACCGGCACCTTTGGAAAAAATTCCGGCACTTCTGGACTGAGAACTGGTGGCAAATGTTTCCTTATTCCATAAGTTTCGGTTCTCGCTGCTTGATATTCCGTTCTAAGTATTAATGGTCGATATTGGACTGTATAATAGAATTGTTGCTGGCGTTCCTTGTTCTGGCAATTCTGCTCTCGAGGTTGTTGCAGACGATAACACTGCAAACGCATTTTCTGTTGGAGAAATTGCTGTTGGACATTGCTGCCCACTTTCCATAAGTTTCGAACTGCGTCACTAGTTACGCGAATATGTAGCTGCATCTCCATTGAATTTTCGATGGTGTAACGTTGATATTCGTAATAATTATCCAACTTTTCGGTAGGATCTGACTCTTGACAGACAGCATCGTTTTAATTAGCAAAAATTTAATACAATTTCTACTAGAGAATAAGTTATATTTTCGTTCAAATTTGGAAAAAAAGATGTTACACAGTGCAATCCATTTAAATATCTTCGAATTATGATGGCGTAAAAAATATTTAATATAAATGTATCATCAAAAGATCAAAATCTACAACATAAGAATATTTTTTTTTGAGGTCAATTTTTTTTGAAGTTTTCACGATTGATGATATTTTTTTGCACACAATTATTTATCATGTATTTTTTTCATCGCATCGTAATTATAGCTAATCAAAAAATAGATATATATGTATATAAATATATATACTTTAAATGATTTTGATTTCCAAAAATTAAAATTTTATGTAAAATTTAAATCTATCGAAATATTTGATAAGAATTTTAATTTAAAATGTGATCGAAAACTTATAAAATGTAAATAAATATATTATCGTAATACTAATAATCTAATAATTTGATGGTTTGAAATTCTGCTCATTTTCTTTTTATCAACAATTTAATAATATATCATTCACAATCAATTATTCGATGCAAAAAGAGATCGATATGATATTTATTTATAGTAAAAAAATGAGTATTTGAGAGAAGCAGTACGAAGACAAATTTTCTAATTATAATTGTTCATTACGTACATATATTCAAAGATGATCAATAATTTTGGTGAAATTGATAATATTGTGAAAAAATGTGCGAAAATCAAAATTATTAAAAATAAAAGAAATAAAAGAGTTATTATAGATAAAATTAATAAAAATTCATATATGAATTCAAAGAATGAATTAAGAATATGAATTAAGAGAATTTGAGTATGTGAAAGTGATATTTCCAAAATAAGCATAATATAAATATTTCAAGAAAAAAGTATTTTATCGATACCAGGATGTTCGTGAAATAGATTTTTATAAATCGTATGTATTTTCTTCAATGAAATTTACAACAATACGAAAATAACAAATATATTTCTTAAAAGAGTATTATTTACTGACGCTAATCATGGGCAATTGAAGATACATGCATTACTAATCGATTGAGAATCCATATTAGTTAAAATCAATGGATAAACAAAGGCATAAATGTTTATTGTGGCCAATCATAACCAAATAATATATTCATATCACGTAAGTGGATATATTCTAAACGAAGAAAAATATATAATATTCTTGCAAAATGCTACAAATGATCATACATGATGTACCATTAGATATGCGTCTAAGAATGCAGCCAGTACCAACAGCCGGTTATTCAGCATCATATACACATTTTGTTAGATATATTTTAATATTTCCAATTGATGAATTGATCATAATGGAATTGTAATATGTAGTATTTGCTAAACTTTATATTAGTAGATGTTTTTTTTTGTGAGAAAGATTAAAAGAAATAGCTTATAACAGATAAAAGCAAAGAATATAAAAATAAGAAAATATAAGAATACAAGAATAATTAAAGCCTGTGTGTGCTGTTATTAATTCAAAATCGAAAGATCGTTACAATAATATTATATTTAGACAATGTATTATCATAGAAAAACACCATTTTTAAATATCTATGAGGAATGATAATTTAAAGCGAATATTTTTTTTGTTGACATTTCATGATTAGATCTTCATGACCTTCTAGATATTAGATTATACAATAAAAATTATTTTTTTTCATATTTATAGATTCGCACGCCTTGACCAAATCCTGCAAATCCTTTTATATTTAAATTAAATTTAAATTTTTCACAAAATTGATCCTTGATCAAGGTCATTTCAAAATCATTATACATATCTGAATGTATTTTTTAATTATACACGATGTGATAAAAAGAAATATCGATAACTATAAAAACTAAAAAAACTAAAAAAAAAAAAAAAATGGCTTCGGAAAAAAAAAATATTCTCTTCAGACATCGATTCTTTATCATTCACGTAACGTAAAAAATATATTTTCACTATCACAATTCGAAGAGATATAGGCTTGTTTAAATGAACCACGCTGTATATGTAGTTATAGTTGATCGCAAATGTATTACCGATCAGGTTTGCTTCTTTACTCGTTTCATGATTCGTCCTGATCTTCTTTTCTGTCGATCTCAACCTCTGCACGTGTTGACTGTGCAAACAATCATCCCAATGCGACTTGAAACCACATCCGATCTTCGATACATCGTCAGGCTCCAGTATCCTTGTTGCCGATCTTTGCAACATCAATTTTCCGGGCGAACGTTAACACAAAATGATCGAGTATTCGATCATAGGATCGAATTTGATTACGTTTAAGTGTAAAACCTAACAATTCACGATTCGATCGTGGTCCATTCGAAGTTAACCAGGCGAAGTGCTTTTCGACCTCCGGAAGCATCCATGGCTCGGTAACTTCCGTCCAACAGAAATTCGATAGTGAAACAGGGCCCTCATTGTCGTCTGATTTATACGTGTTCTCGCGTTCTTCATTGTACTCATAGTTGCCATAGCTGGCCAAACGGGAATTAGGAATAACATCGCGAACACTTTTCGTTTGATAGGAACCATTTTCTTTGTACTTTGCAGTCAATTTATAATTCTATTGTAGGATAAATTGTTAAACTTTGTATTTTTTTATTTTTCTTTCTAGTATATCTATATTCCTAACATATGTAATAATTAAAAGATGGATAGAAGATGATTCAGGGAGTTTGTGAAGGTTTTACCTGAATCGACAAAGAATGATTCAGTTTTTGAAATGAATCTCCTTCCTTGTCGAAAGTCCAAGCTTTGTCGGCGATTAGATTTATATTCGCATACGCGCTGTTCAAAAGCTCTTCGTCGTATGACGGAAATGAAGATATCATTATCTGAACATTCTAACCAATCGAGTGTATTTTAGCAAGCAATTAAATTAGATATTGAGATATTGGTCTTTCGTTTGCATTGATAGATTCTCAAATGGTCATTTAATTGTCCTGTCTTTGAGACGAATATCGAAGCGATAGAAGACTCGAAATATGTTCAGGATAAAGTAAACGTCTTTCGAATGTCTTCACATTTGTCGAAAAATCACGTTTCATTCAAAAATTTATCAAATTAATCAAGGAAATATTTCTAAATTAGGAAGTGATAAAAATATATGTTGATTATTTCTTTTTTTCGTTTTTTCTTTTCTTTTACAAATTTTCGTTTATTACAAATTATCGCGATCGATGATAAAGTAATACACACATTTCATTCGCACATTTTGTACAGATCAGACATACAGATATTTACAACGGATAAATCGCGTAATTTACAAAATTTTTCGATGGTATAATAATAATAATCTATGATAACGTTTCGAAACTTGGTGGAAAAAATCAGTCTGGCAGTTATACCCTGTTCAACATTCTCGATGAAATCCTATATATAAAAAAAAAAAAAAAAAAAAAATATCACGAATACACAGTAATTCGTTTTACGGAACTTTAACGGAACATTGAACAAGTAGTTGTAGTTATCGCGACACGCAAAGAAGCGTAAAATAGATCGAGATTCCTTTACGTTATTTCAAAAAATTTTCATCTCGATTCATTATAAATCTTTGTTTGTTTGGCATTGTGCGACTGTATCGATATTATCTGGCACAGATCGTGAAAACAGTTTATTTACAAGAAACTTAAGGACTTGATACTTATTTATAATAATTGGGTGATACAGTTGCACAATAATTATCTTCAATCGGCAACGAATTCTCAAATAGAACTCATGATTAATTGTGACGGTTAAATATAAGAGGAGCTTGTGAGATTGTGAGCTATGTGTACGATATTCATTAAAATTCATTAAAATTCGATGAAAAGTTTGTTCTCTATAATTCGCATTTCTAATGGTAAGAGAATCTCATATCGCTTAAAAAGTATAGCGGATTATTTACAAATTCACAATTTCGCCCGGACACGATACTTATTTACTACAAGTGCGAAACGTCGAATCTTATCTTTGAATTATGGCGTCACACGTAAAACGATAAACGAATCGAAGAATCCTTCTGTTATTATGGCAAGACAACGGTTACATCGTTACGGCCGAGCATCAATCCTGTAACGATATTTGTTTATGTTATCTAAAAATGTCCGTTTTGTTATTTTTTCTTTTTATGACTTATTATAATTGGCAATTAAAGCGTATTTCATTCGCGCATGATGGTATATTTTGGTTATTCGTGCACGCTTTTATCGAACATCTTCTCAAATGAGAAAAGAGAAGGAAAATGCACCGTTAGCTCTTTCTAATAAAAAATAAAAAAAAATATATATATATTAAAAAAGTTCCAGTCAATCGTTAAAACACCGTTCAAACGTATTCCTCGGATGGTTTAGGTATATTAGCTGGTAATCTAAGCGTACTTGGAACACGATTGGCACTGTCTGGAAGTTCCGCGATATCGATAAACACCCCGACCAAACTATCAAAGTTCAATCCCCAATTCAACAAATAATCCCAGCTCAACGCGGTGGTAGTGGTTGATGGCGAGCCGCTGTTATTAGGTCTATATAATCCACCCATATGCGTGGATAAATCATCGTCAGAGGCTACTAAAGTGCTCAAAGAACCGCGGAAAGAGCTGTCGAAACCGTCGTAATTCACATTCGGTGGCAATGGTGGTTTCGTCGTTTGAGCAGACTCGTTGTTACGTTGATTCACCTCCTCGTCATCCTGTTTCGCAAACGGATTATCCGATCGTTTGTCACCGACCAACGAGGTGTTGTCGTACTCGGAGCACGTAAAACTGTCGTTACCGCTCTCGTCGGTCGTCGACGAATTTCTTCGTTCCAGTCTCTCGACAGGTGGCGTGTGTCGTCGGTGAAGATGGAGCGGACCGTGCGCGGGTGGCCCTCTAGCTTCGCTCGAGGAACTAACGGCGTCCAAAGTCGACACGAGGCTCGAAGTCCTCGGTCTCGAGTTCAATCTTTCGATCTCTTCTGCAGTTAACCCTATTGGGCCTGACGACACGTTGTTCACCGAATTCTCATTATTGGATTGAGGCGCTTTTCGACTCGCCGTTGATCCAGACAGTTGACTCATGATCGGCGAGTTTAAACTTCTTTCGCTGTTCGAATTCAAAGCATCTTTTCCTACACCTCCGGATGAAGAAGTGGTAGCTAGAAGTGCGCTTTGTAAAGGTTTCCCGCTGATGTCGTGCAACGTCAATATCCTCGGTTGTTGGGCGGATAATTCGCTACTAGGCGACAATCTAGCCAACGGAGTGCTTTGCAACAATTTCTGAGTCGGACCAGGCGGTTGATTCACGTTCGGTGGTGGCAAGGCCCTGGGCGGGAACGGGCCGGTGTGTCTGTGCTGTTGACCCGTATGCTTATGATGATTGGCGTAATTGTTAATAGGCGGAGGAGTGGCTTTGTACTTCCGCATTCCGTCCCTATAACCTTTGTAATGGTACACGATATCGATGTCGCTCGGCGCTATCGAACTCGCATTTTCCAAATCGTAGTGTTCCGGCATGTCGGGTTCTGGATTATGTTCGTGGGTATGAAGAGAAGTTTGGGCGGGCGGGGGAAGAGGCGGATGCTCGTCTCGAATGGGCGGTGACTTCGTCACTTCTCTTTCGATTATATCCGGTCTTTGAGGTCTGTGCTCGGTGCTCGCGTTAATCTCGCGCTCTTTATACTTCTTTGAGATCAATTCCGGCCCCATGTGACCTACACCACGCAAATCGGACGTATCCGAGATATACGTATTCTCGTGGCGAGACATTAGATTATCGTTCCCTGTCCCTACCAACGGATTGCCAGTCATTATAGCATTGGTATTCTTGTTCACCACCGAGGGAGCGGATTTCTCCTTGTTCTGTCTTCTCAGACGGAATACGATAAAACTGACCAGAATAGCGATTAGCAGGATCACGAAGAAAACTATGACTAAAGTGATCCCTATGCTTAGAGGGTCAGCTGTTGCGGCTGCGCTGATACCAATCGGCCCTCTGCATCCGGTGCTCACCTTCGAATGGTAAACCACCTCTTTGAAAATCGAGCCGGATCCATTGAACGGCTGGATCTCGTTGTTGATGGTGAAGTTGGCCAAACAACCTTCGAAACTTCTTGCGCCAGCGCTGTGAGCGTAATAAAGGTCTTGGCTAACTCCACCGATCGTTAGCACGGATAGATACGGATCCAGGAAGTCGTGGACACCGGCAGGATCTAATTCTTCGCCTGTCTGAACGTTGTCCACGAACAATCTTAAGCCTCGAAAGTAGGAATGTAGGGTCAGGTTGTGCCAGCGACCGTCCGCTAAGCTTCCCTCGATGTTAGCCGTCATGTTTACGGGCGATGCAAGAAGGGATGCGTAAAATAATTGGCCATTGCGAAGCTACAACGTGACACGTTTATATTATTAAATAAAAAAAGAAAATGTATTTTTATTTATATTATCCTCGAAATATGATAACGTTGCTCACCTCTACCGATGTGAAGTGTTTGTTAGTCGCGGCATAGATAAGGATACCATCAGGTTTAACCGTTCTAAACATCAAGCTAATCGTTTTAAACGGCGATTGATTGGTAATGAAGCTGGTATCTTCGGTGATGCTTCTTTTCGCTCGATTCTTATGCCACATCGTCGAACCTCCGTAAAGATACTCCAGCAATTGCATTCTCCTATGCTTCTCCGAGATCTGCGCGAGAGAAGAAGAAAAGATCGTCAATTTTTTTTTCATTTGAGTAAAAGAAAATGAAAAAAAAAAAAAAAAAGAAAAAGAAATAAAAATATCTAACATATTTTTCACACATACTTTGAATTCGATGTATCCACCTTCGCTTAGAGTGATCGGTTCGAGAGCCGTCCCGCAATTGGGCGCGATCACCGACCCGCATCGACAGCTCACTTGATGCCACTTGTCGTAACACTTGGCATCGGCTCCGCAAAGCGAGACCGCGTCTTTTCCACCTCTTACACAAGGATTGTTCTTCGATCTGACGCAGGTTGATTTAACGCCGCGGGATGCCAAAGGATTCGAGAGGTTCAACGCTCTTCCGTTGATGGAAACCGAATGGACGCATCCCACGAAATCATCGGAATGGACTTGACCCGGCCTCTCGAGTACTGGATCTGCATTTTCCAGCCCTCCCACCAGAAGTGGATTGTTATTGAAATTCAAGGTTCTGCAATTACGTTATATCTTTAGAATAATATTAATTACAGAAATATTAAGAATACATATATATATATATATAAAATTGCTAACCCAGTTGGTCCTACGTCATCCGCGTAGCAAGTACCATCACCTGGTCTGCAATCGTCGCAAATATCCCCGTGTTCTCTGCACATGGACACGCTCAACGACACGACTCGTCCGTTTCTGGTTGCCGTCACTTTCCTCCACTCTCCATCGGACACGGTGTTCTCCGTTTTTATGACGATAGAGGTGATGGCGCTCCTCGCTCCACCGTATGAAAATACCACTCTCCCGTCTACCAACTCTAACACTACAAAGTCCGAACGTCCCCCAGTTTGGGGAGCGTAATTATAGAGGAGCAACGCGTCTGATTTAGTCGTGGCAAATACAATTGTTATGTCGTTCGTGTTTGAATCGAGCGCTGGGAACGCCATGTAAGATAATTCCTCGAATCCGAACGTGGATCGCTCGCAATGCCTCCCGTAACGACCCTCTGGACAACTGCATCTGTACCTGTATCCGTTCAAAGATTCGTTAAAAATCGTGATAAGAGTGAATGATATGTAAATAAGAGTCTTAATTTATATATTTTAGGGGAAAAAAGAAACTTTACCCAGGCTTTTCTCCCACGCATAAACCTCCGTATAGGCAAGGATTCGGCCTGCAAGAGTCCGTGACAGCCTCGCAGTGGTTTCCTCTGTACCCAGCTCGGCATAAACAGAAGAAACTGAAGCTGTCGGGACTTTTCCTGCACGATCCACCGTTCCTGCACGGATTGCTCGCGCAGGCATCGCCTCTTTCGAGCTCGCATAATTTTCCCTCGCGATCTATCGGGCAGGTACACTGGAAATCGTATCCCAGTCGTCGACACTGTCCACCCTGAGAAAGTGATTGATTTCGACGCGATTAGAAGAGAGCTTTGGGACGTAAAAGAAGAGAAGGAGGTGCACATTTACCAATAAGCAAGGATTGGGCGAGCAAGGATCTTGTCTTCTCTCGCATTTATCACCGGTGAAACCGTCCCGGCATTTGCAAGTCATCTCGTGGATCATTCTCGGCGACGTGAGGATCAACGCTTGGCTGTCAGTGATTCTGGCGTCGTCGTAGATGACCAATTTGTCGCTGCAAGAACCACCGTTCTCGCAAGGTATCTGCTTACACGGTGAGTAGCCGACGATGAAGTTTGTCCCCTCGAGAAGAGATCGAATTTTATCCCGGTTACGGCTCACCAGTTCGGCGACCTCGTACTTGCTCCGATATCCTACTGCGCGGATCGAATCGAATTTTCAATCAGTCTTAATGTCTTGAATTGAATATATAATTATAATTCTTTTTTTTTTTTTGAATTTATATATTTAATCACCTTGAGGCGATTCCACTGCTAGATGAATGTTCAAATCGAATTCGGTCTCTCCAAGGCTGAAGATCTTAAGGGTATCACCAACGTCAATCTCTTCTTGCAGAACGTCCAATAGGGCGCGATAATACTGGCTTAAAAAATCCCTCGCGCTTAACTTTGACACTTGTAACGTGATGCTGTTTTCGATCGTGCTATTCGTGAAAACGAGGAATTCTACGGTGACTTTCGACACTACGTTAGGGTGACGACCGTCGTTGCCAGATACGCTTAAGGAATAACCAACTCCTGTGTAAGAAAAATGCAAATTGAAAATATATATATATATATTTTAATCTTAATTAATATTCATTTCGAGAAATAGAGATAAAGCATGCGACCAACAAACCTGGAGTTATTTTCTTCGTGTGTAGATCACAAGCTGTGGGAATGCTGAGGATCTTGGGATTCGATCCTTGGAGTATTTTGCAAGAATAACTGCCAGTGATATCCGGATCATTTGGATGCACGTCGGCAATTTTTCCCAATGGTATCTGTTCGTTAAAGGAATGCACTATCACGTGAACCGATCTTGGCGAAGATGGACTATCGTTTTGATCCATCACTATCACGGTTATCGTATGCTCGCTCCTCATTCTTGGTATTCCGGAATCTTCCACTTCGATCTGGACAGATTACATAACGAATTTAAAGAATTATCACGAAAAATAGAATTATTCGAACTTTGTTTCGATTGATATAATATCCAATGTTGAATTTAAATGTTCGAGTATAATTTCATCTTTCTTTCGTGAATACGTGATATTAATAAAAATAATTACATAATATATGTTATGTATATATTAATACAGTCAAATTCAATGATTAATCTTGATTGTTAGTCTCGTCTCGTTTATCATATATACGATAAAATAAGTTTATTGCTTTCTAAATCTATATACTATTATATTTTCTATCATGTTTTCCCCGGAGAATACAAAAAAATGAATATGCATTTTAACACCTCTAATCTTTCCATTCATTCGAAATAAAACTCGTTAAAGAATTAATGACGTAACTGTACACGCGGCAATCGATAAAGAAGAACAGTTAAGAACGAAAAAAAAAAACTAGAGCAAGAAAATAATATTGAAACAACGTATTATAACCAGATGTGAAAGCGTGAAATGACGAGCATAGGAAAATAGAAAAGCATAGATCCGAGCAACGGTAGAAAAAGGTCTCAATATAAAATAAATATCAATCTTTCAATCTTTTCTCCGTCGAAAACGTTTCATAACTCACCACAAGATCCAATTGAGGCATAGCTTCCCTATCCAAACTTCTAGTCGTCTTCAATACCCCTGTATGCTTATCCAAAGTGACCATATCGCTCTGCCTTCCACCGACCAGTTTGTAAGTGAATGGCGCTCCGTTCGGTGGTAGATCGGGATCAGTTGCGCTCAATGTCATTATAATCGTGCCGGCCGGTTCATTTTCGTTCACGTAACCGATTACCTCAGGCGGATCAAAGATAGGCCCGTTATCGTTGATGTCCATGATTTCTATGTGAACGGCCGCGGTACCGGTTTGAGGTGGTGAGCCCGTATCGATGGCGCCGATCGTCAAATCGTAAACAGGAATCGTTTCTCGATCTAATTGTTTCGCGGTCTCAATGTCCCCCGTCTGGGGATCCACTTTGAACGCTTGCCCTATATTCCCACCGATGATAGAATAAGAGAACTGATTGTTCTGCGGTTTTATATCCTTGTCCACCGCTCTTACGGTCAACACTCGAGTTCCGTGCACGGCGCCCTCGGACACGGTTGCGTCGTACGTACTCTGAAGGAACTCTGGAGGATCGTTCCCGTCTTGAATCGAGACTATGACCTGTGCCTCGTCCGTGTCGTTGCCGCGGATACCACCCCCGTTTTTCGTCATCACGGTCAACACCACCCTGTTCTGGGTCTCGCGGTCCAATCTCCGCGAGACACGAATTATCCCCGTCTCGGAACCGATAGAGAAGCCCCGATCGTTCGAGGAACCGACGAAGAGGTAATACACCCTTCCGTCCTCGCCCGAGTCTTGATCCGTTGCCTGGACAAGGCCCACCGAAGTGCCAACCTCCGCACTTTCCGACACATCCATGTGAAACACCGGTTGGATGAACTTTGGATAATATTCGTTCACGCCTGTCACGTGCACGAGGACAGTGGTGAAACCGACCATTTGCGGATTCGAGTCCGGATTCGCGGCCACAATGTCCAACGTGTACTCGTTCGCCTCCTCGTAGTCGAAACTGGCCAAGGAAGCGATCTCGCCTGTATCCTCGCGGATACGAAAATGATCCTTCCCTGTCCCCCCGAGAATTTTGTATTCAATCACGGCGTACTTAGGGGAATCTATGTCCTTCGCTATTACCTGAAATTAAATTAAATGATATTATCAGTGGAACGTGTGGAGAAGATCGAGAAGGAAAGGATGATATATTTACCTTGTAAACGAAACTGTCCGGTGGGGAATTTTCGGGTAAATAGGCTTCGTAAACGCTTTGATTGAACGTTGGAGGATTGTCGTTAATATCGGACACGTTTACGGTTAAAATGGCAACAGCCTGTTTCGGCTCGAATCCAAGATCCGTAGCGGTGATGTTCAATTTGTACTCCTGAACCAGATCGTAATCCAAAGGCTCGAGTATGGTGACCGCCCCGGTGATGGAATGAACGAAGAATTCGTTCTTTTCGTTCCCAGCCGATATCTTGTACCTTATCATCCCGTTCGGCCCTTCATCGCCGTCGGTTGCGCTCACCGTCAAGATAGTCGTGTTAACAGGCTCGTTCTCGGGCACCCTTACTTGATGGCTGACAGCGGCAAAGGTGGGGGCGTGTTTGTTCTCCCCGGATATCACCAAAGTCAACGAGACCTCGTCCTTTTGGGGTGGTACACCCTTGTCGATCGCGCGAACCTTTAATAAGAACGTCGTCCCTACCGGCACGTTGGCCAACGGGTTTTGGATGTACACCCATCCAGATTTCTCATCGATCGAGAAGTACTCGGTTCCGTTCACATTCGTCAAAAAGTAACTGATCTCCGCGTTCACGCCGAAGTCGGCGTCATCCCTGGCGACCAACTGTACCACCCTTTTACCGATCCCGTAATTTTCCGGGACGGGATAGAGATAAGATCTCTGCTCGAACCTTGGGGCATTGTTGTTCGCATCGACCACGTTCACGTAGATCACCGTTCTCGAGGAGAGGGGCGGTTTTCCGTTGTCGGTGGCGACCACCGTCAACGAGTACAAATTCTCGGGCGAGGAGGGCCGATGGGTATGCTTGTACTTCAGAGTCTTTTTACTGAAAACGTCACCGGTCGCCGGATCGACGGTGAATAGGTCAGAAGGTTGTAACAAGCTGTAGGATATCACCGAATTTGGGCCTTGCTTATCGCGATCAATCGCGGTTACTTGGCCGACGTGAGCAACGGATGGTTGGAGTTCGGGGAAGTGGAAGTGATACGATTCCTCGTCGAATTCCGGGGGGTTGTCGTTCTGATCTTGGATGGTTATCGTTAGAGCGGTCGCTGCTTGCCAAGCTCCGTCTGCTGCTACCAGCTGTGCAATACGAATGATTGATTAAATTTTTTATTAATTTATATTTGTAGCTAAAATTTGTCCTCTTTTTTAATATTCTTCGATTATTATTTTTTGATCCGTTTCGATTATTTATAATGTTTTTTTTTTTATGAATCAGATGATATTTAAAAACAAATTGTAAATATATATAATATAAGTTGATGTAACAATTTCTTATTATTATAAATTGTGTAAATTGTTTTTCTCTTGTTATCTTTTTGATTCATTGTATTTTTTTTATTTATAGTTTATATTTTTTATTCTATTTTATTAACGATTTATACAATTATTAGATTATTACAGTAGATTAATAAAAAATTATTAAACTTATTATTAATAAAATATAATCAATAGATATTTTCAAAAGGCTATTTTTATTTCTCTAGTCTAATAATTTATTCCAATAGCAATTCATGACATTAATTATTCGATCAGTTAAGATAAATGAAAAACCTGTTGCAATATATTAAATATAAAAGCTTAAAATCTTAAAATATAATAAATATAATAGTAAATTATAATGACAGTAAATCAATAATGAAAAAAAATTAACATTATTTCCCAATTTTTTTCACGTTTCCTCAAAAACGAAACTTTTAGTTGCAATCTTTCCTACGTATTAATATAAAATATATGAATTTATTTATATAAATATTTGTAAAACAAATATATCGTTTTCTAGATTGCGAGTAACAATAATGAGCAATGATTCTATTTTTAATTCTATTAAATTAAATTTTATTATTGCTTCCTTTGTGGCATATTTAAAATATAACTTTCGTAATTATTTATTTAGTTACGATAAGTTGATATAGTTTTTAAGATCAAGAAACAATTTACGGTATGATGAATTATATAAATTGTAATGAACGAATGGAAATCTAACCTAACATAAATTAACCTATAATCTATTAATTTTTTTCTTTTTATTATCTAGGTTATGCAGGAATGTGGTCACTACCATATTAGAATTCACACCACGATGAATATATTTATAAGGTAAGTTCAAAAAAAAAAATATTTTAAGAATATTTCACAAATTAAAACATATTTATGCATAATAATATGTATAAAAAGAAATTGTTTAAAACATGATGCGTTTTAAATAACACTTTTAAATAATTATTATAATTTTATACATTATATCAAAAAAAAAAAAAAAAAGAAAATATTGATACATTAATTTTCTAATAATTAATCGAATAAGTTTTATCAATCAAAATTTATTTTCATTATTTTTTATTATTATTTGCAAAAATTTGTAAATATTTTCAAATATTCGAATATTTTTATAATACATTAATAATCACACAAAATGAAAAAAAATACGTATATTTGCATCATATCAATCCCTGTATTTCGATATGTGTGTGAAAAATAATTAAAAAATACTTTTTTAATACGTATTTTAAATATTATACAAACCTTTAGCAAATATTCGTCCTGTTCTTCTCTATCTAAATGGCCATTTACAGTGACATTACCACTCAAAGCATCCATGGCGAATTTTTGCCCCGGATTTTCGGTGAATTTGTAGCTGACATTAGCATTTTGACCAATGTCGAGATCGCTGCTAGTAATTCTTATAACAAACGTGCCGATCTCTGCATTCTCCGTTACGTTCACGCTGAACAATCGGGTGAATTGTGGCGGATTATCGTTTTTATCCAATACAGTGACCAGAACTGTGGCCGTGCCCGTTAACGAAGGCTGCCCCTCGTCCCGCGCTTCTACGATCAGCTCGTAAGAAGCGATCTGAAAGAAAACGAGTCGATCTATTCGTAAAGGATATTTTTATCCTTTTTCTTTCTCGATCATAAAATTCGATTAACACGGTACTCACCTCTTCACGGTCTAATTTTGCATTGGTGCTAATTTCACCGTTATCGGAATCGATGATGAAAGTCTCGGTAAAATCGTTTACCAGGTAATAAGACACTTGACCATTCTCCCCAGAATCACGATCTTTCGCTGAAACTTTGCCGACGAACAGGGGTGGATACTCTTCCTCGGGAACCGTGGCGTTGTAAATTGCCGCCTCCATTACCGGTGCATTGTCATTCGCGTCCGTAACATTCACGAGAAGTTGCACAACGCTCCTCAGAGCCGGGGTGTCCGAATCACGAACCTCGACCCAGGCTTCGTAGAACGGCGCTGTTTCATAATCGAATCCAGATGCGACCAATACCTGAGCCGATAATAACGAAAGATACGATCGATTATAAATCTTTCGTCGAGCACAATCGTCGAGAACGATCGATAAATTATTATCTCTGTATAGGGAAGCTGAGAGTTTAACGAAGCGTTTCGTTATTCGTAAAGAATATTATTTGATTGCTCGTGTTAAATCGAATTAAAGAAAAAGTTGCCACGTTTTTTAAAACAAATTTTTAATAAGAATCAATAAGATTTTTAATATTTATCATTATCGAAAATAATATATATTGATTAAAGTTTGATTTAATAGATTCAACAGATCTTAGTTTAAAAACAAGTTTAAAAATAAATTAATTTACTAATAATACGTTTTTGAAACTTATTTGAACTTACTCGTGTAAATATTATTTTTTCAAACTCTTTTCTAAACAAATTTAAATTAATAAAAGTATAATATATATAATAAATAATAATATAATAATAATAATTATAATAATAATAATAATAATAATATAATATAATAATAAATATATAATATATATAATAAAATAAATTAATAAAAGTATAGCAAATTCAATTTTCTCCCGGAATAATTGCATTTATAAATTCGTATATTATGTATTACCCGTTAACAATTTAATCCAATATTTATTAAATTCACTTATAATTTTCCCCGTAACGCAAAATATAACATAAGACGAATTTGCAAAAATAATAAAAATCAATCGAAATTCCTTATGTCGTCGACATATTCTTCTTCTATATTAAAATTAAAATTAAAATACAAACCTCGCCGGTATGAGGATCTATCTTGAGCGCGTCGCCGACATTTCCACCTGCCATCCCATAAACCAAACTGCTGGCCGCCCCGATTTTCGGCGTGGTCGCGCCCAATTTTGTGACCACCCGACCCTCCGGCACGTCCTCCGGCAGCGTGAACCTGGTGGTGATGCTGGATCGAAAGCTGGGGAACAATTGCCTCTCCCAGAGATGTATGACCAAGTCCGCGGTGACCGACTGCGGTTTAACGCCGCAATCGGACGCCTGGATTTGCAATTGGTAAGTGGTTTCGTCATTGGCCAATTCCTGCGTAGTTCTTATCACACCGCTGTTCGAATCGATCACAAACTTCTCCGCGTCTATTCCCTGGAGACGATACACGATCCGAGAATTTTCCCCGTCGTCGTCGTCCACCGCTTTCGCGCCGAACACGAAATCCCCTTTAAAGGAAACGGTGTGTTTAGTGTTGCGTTATAAGCGACTCCAGCTTATACGAGTCCCTGTCGTTATTCAGGTGTTACTTAACGCGTTCAGACTCGTGTTCTCGAAGGATGGATACCAAAGTTGCGAATTTCTTTTTTTTTTTTTTTTTTTTCCTCTCTCTCTATTTTCTTTTTTCTCTCTCTGTTTTTCGTTTCTTGGGATAAATCCTGATTACCTGATTTGGTTGCACCTGGCACATAGGCCGTGTATCTTGGACTAGAAAATCTGGGAGCATTGTCGTTCACGTCCTTTACGAAGATCGTTAAATTAACAGCGGAGGCTTGCGGTTCCGTCGGGCTCGAGTCTTGAGCGACCAAAGTCAGGTGGTAGACAGAGGTTTGCTCCCGATCTAATGCCACCACTGTGAACACCTCGCCTGTCTCGGGATCCACGGTGAAACGTTCCGAATACTCTCCCAATAAACTATATCTGTAGAGAATGTTAGAGCGTTTTTACGAAGAATCGAGAGAGAGAGAGAGAGAGAATTTTTCTCCTTGAAGAAGATGCCTTTATATTATATTATACCTGATTTTGGCATTAAGGCCCTCGTCTTTGTCCGTGGCGTGAGGTTTAGTGACCCACGTACGGGAAACTGAATTTTCGGTCACCGTCGCCCTGTACTCCTGCCTCGTGAATTCCGGAATGTGATCGTTGACATCGAGCACGACAATTCTAACGATGCCCGATCCAGTCAAAGGTGGAGAACCTGTGGAACAGGTTCGATAATCGTAGATCGATCGTTTTATTATTAAGATAGTTATTTTATCCGGCTTGATGGGATCTTGAAACGAACTTGAGTATATTTCGAGTACTTTCGATTCGAAAATTTTTCTTCATCAAGAAATCAAAAATCACATGCTATAAAAAATTATAATATTGATTATAAAAGGTATCCAAGTTTAGAAAGTTTGAACGTAACGACGAAAGTGTTTCGAAGGTGTTTTTTCGCCCGATCAAATCGTCGAAACGTTCGAATAAGACAAATTACGATTCCATAAAATATCGGGCGGGCGGAATACCGTCGAGTTAATTGTGCCGCCTAAAAGGCCATTATTCTCCGGTGGACCCGATTTCTCTGATTGCAGCAGGTACATTGTACGCGTTGGCGTGGCCCTGGGCCACGCGCCACTATAAGCGTATATCGTTTAATCACGTGGACCTCTCACGAGAAGGGCACAACAATTGCAAGGCACAATGGTGTGGTCCACCATATCCGGTGTTCCCCTGGTGGGCAATCCGACAGAAATATACTGGCTTACACTAGTAGCGTATTCTTCTTATTCGTTTGCTTAATTGATGGGGACAAGAAGAAGCGAGAGAACCGTCCCACCTCGCCAATTCGATTCGAATTGTCAAAGTAGTTTTTAACGAGAATGCGAAATCGTGACAATATATATATATATATATATATATATATATATACGAGCCATTAATAGGATTTTTGAAATTCCTCGTATTATATTGCTCATCAAATTCTTTTTTTTTCATTTCTATAACACGTAACGCAACATAACGACGATTTAAAGTGAATTCTTATGGTTAACCATAGTACTAGCATGATGATAGGGGCGCAGCCGTTTCGGAGTGGACACGGCTGGTATAAACGCTATAGGTGGCGTGTACACGCGACAGCCATAACGTATGAATAAAATAGGAGTATAATGCGCGTGCTCGAGCAGGATCTCGAGAGATGCGCGTTTGGCTCCAAAGAGAGGGCTCCAAAACATCCAACAAGCGAAAGCTTGGGTGGGGTGAAGGAGGCATTAAGAGAAGGAGGAGGCGGCGATGGAGGTGGAGGAGGAGGTGGTGGAAGCGATGGAGAGAGAGAGAAAGAGAGAGAATGGGAGTGGGGTATGCGGGGGGTCGAAGGGAAAACGAAAGAGGGGTAGGGAGAAAGAGAGTGCAGCGCCGAGGCAGAGGAAGGCATTTGAGAGCGATTATCATAATCGCGCGTCATAACTCTGCAGGCTTGTCTACCTCGGCGGGGACCGATTGGGCCATCGGCCCCCGATGGTTGGCCCGAAGGGGGCGGGCGAGGGGCACCCTCGAATGGGACTACTGGCTTCGTCGGAGGAATGAACGATAAAAAAGATTTCGACGAGGAACTGCCCACCGCTTAAAGAATCTCATCGAACAACCCACAAATTTATATCCAATTTGTATATTACCGCTCATTACTTAAACCTATCCCCGTATATCGTCTATTGTTTCGTCTATTATTTATCGACGATGGTGAAGTGGGAGGGTGACATTTTCCCGTATCACGAACGTCGCGCGCGATCGTTTTACGCGATCTCCTCCTCCGTGGTGACGGTTCAGTTTAAATGGAATTTATAGATGGAAAAATAATCGTCCCGTGAATTGGCCTGCCACCGATATATGCCTGTGACATTTACCGACATTTCGATCGGTCGCGTCCGACCGAATAGGTAATCACGATTTGTAGACAACGGTGTCGTAAATTTGTCAAAGTAATTCGACGAATTTATAGCTACCTGCACGTATACGTATATACCTGTACGGGCGTATTGTATCGTACGGACGAGTTGAGTCGTTTAAAAACCGGGTCTTTTCAGCGTTAAAAATCGGCTTTTTCATTTTTTATTTCTCATTCTTCAATTCACCGCGGCTTTTTTAAAAGTGCCAAACCCAATATAATTAAGTCCTTTGTTCGTGCTAATTCGCAACCAGTTTACATAGAGCCTAAGACCGGTTACTAAGGTGGCCGGAAAAATATTCTCTCCAAAGAATACTGACTACCCTTTCAATGCCGCTCTTTGTGCAGATCCTACCAGGTATATACCTATTTAACCGTTCCCCTAAGGTACGATCCAAAGAATCTACTGGGAATACCCCTTTACCCATGATTTCTTTATCCTTTATTCCCTTATACGCGTATTTATTTTCGTGTTGTGCTTTCGTTTCGTTTCGTTTCGTTTCGTTTCATTTTTACATCGCTCCTCTCCACCATAAATTAGCCTTTAACGCTTAATTTTTCGTTCTTAAAATTCTTCTAAAATAACTCACCGGTATCCATGGCAACCAATGTGAGGGTGTATTCTGGCACCGATTCCCTGTCAAGAGGCCGGAGCAGGAAAATGTCACCTGTGCTAGCATTTATTCGAAACAAATCCGTGTCTCCTTCCTTCAAAAAATATCTCACTTGGTCGTTGTAAGGAGGCGTATCCGCGTCATAAGCTTTCACCTTTGAGATCAAAATTGATATCAGTTTCATCTCTCGTCGAGATAATTAATATTCGATGATTCACGTGATACGATTACCTGTATCACGAATCCTCCCCCAGGTGGCACCATGTTCTCCATAACGTGGGCTAAATAAGGGGAATCCAAAAAAACGGGTGCGTTGTCGTTAATGTCAAGGACGGTGATGGTGACTTGAGCCGTGTCACCCCGTGGCGTTTCCCCCACTTCAGAGGCGCAATCCTCCCCCCTGATTGTCAAATAGTACCTAGATTTCCGCTCGAAATTCAAATTCTTCGCCACTCTGATCACCCCGCCATCTTCCGAAATCGTGAAGTCCCTGTTATCGTCCCCCATCGCTATACCGTATCTTACCCTTCCATTCGCGCCCTCGTCTCGGTCCATCGCCGACACCTTGAATGCAAACACATGTCCGCATGCGAATCGAGAAAGTTGAAACAATTACCGTTCAACGGTAAAAGACGCTCTTTAAATCTCTGTTAAACTGTTTCCTTCACGGTTCAGTTGCAAGGTTGTTCAGTTGAAGAACACACTCATTGCGATTTAATTAGCGTGACGTAAGTGCTCGTGTAATCTCGATTTTATGGCAACCTCTTTCACCGATGAAACCTCGTTCGCCGATATATATGTGTATATATATATATATATATATTTATCGAGCGAGGAAAGGAAAGAGAAAGAAAAAAGAAGAAAAAAAAGAAAAGACAAGATATTAAATGCAACGAACCTGGAGTACACTGGCCCCGATACTGGCATTTTCAGCGACAGTGGCTGAATACTGTCGCGGATCGAACACGGGCGAATTATCGTTCTCGTCGAGGACCGTGACAGTGACCGTGGTCGAGGACGATCTCGGTGGTTCACCGCGGTCTTTCGCGGTTACTTCCAAGGTGTAGTTTGACCTTAATTCGCGATCCAACGAGCCAGATACGCGCAATAGTCCATCTACGGGTCCAACGGTGAAGGGAAGCGTTGTGTCCTCGAGGGAGTACTCTACGTATCCGTTCCGTCCTTCGTCCCTGTCCACGGCCTTAATGGCCATCACCACTGTGTTACTTGGCGCGTTCTCTATTATCGAAATCTTGGTCGGTGATATGAACTCGGGCGACATGTCGTTCACATCCAATAACACCACGGTCACCTATCGATCGGACAATGTCGACGATTAATTATTAAAATATATTTGAATACCGATACAGTTTTGATGTCTATATTTTATGCCTGGTGTGTATAACGATGAAATAATAAAGCAACGAAATTATTATATATTAAAATTAATTGTATTTAAAAATAAAAAAAAAATTGTCTATTTAAAATTGTTGATTATTTGAATATTCAAAAAAAAAAAAGAATATTGGAAAAAAAAGAAATAAGATAAACTTTTATGTTACAAAAATATTCGAATTTATGACAATAGATTTTTTTTTTTTATAAAAGTTTGTTTGATTGATTTAAAAATGAAAGTAATATATTTTAAATAGTTTGATATGTTAAAAATTATTTTTATTAATGAATAAAAATACTTTTTACTTCTTCGTTAGATGATGCAACGTTTTTCTTAAATCTTATTGATATTATTGTTTAATTATAGTAGATAATATTATTTTTGTTGCGATTAGAAATATCTTTAGAATGAAGTAATAAGATATATATAAACATGCTTGCATATTTTTGGGAATAATTGTGTATAATTGATCATCCTGAAATTTTTATTCGATTTTGTTATACTTGATGCTATGACTAGTTATATTAGAACCTCATTTTATTCGTAATTTGTATTTGATGCAAATGAATCAACTATAATTAAAAATCTACTATAAAAATTAAAAAATAACAGTTATTTTGTTTAATATATAGAAAAAGTTTTTTTGGACAATAATTATAAACTACAAGTAACAATTATCATACAAAAATCAAATTGAAATTGAAATTTTATTCCATCTTTCATATTTCCTTGATTTTTCATCAACTGACTTTTTTTTTTCACTTGTTTGACAACTTTCTAACAAAGAAGCAATTTAAGGAAATAAAAAGTCATTGAAAACATCTTTCAATAGTTTCTTTTTCTTAATTCTTACGTATATAAAATTAATGCTCTTGTGAAATGTTGGCAAATATATTGTGAAATTAAAAGTTATTTTTCAACGAATATTATATTCTTTTCAAACGACGTAAAATCATGTGAAAAAAATGCAAGTAATAAATTTTTTTATTCATTATAATCTTTCTTACTGTATTTAACAAAAGAAAGAATTTTAAACACTCATTTTTATTATATATAGAAAATCAAGAAGAGAAAAACAGAAAAAAAAGTTATAAATAAATATACGTATAATATATTTAATAATTCAATCCAACTACACAGGAGTATAAAAATTGAGCAAATAATTTTAATTAACCTGTTGACGTGTGATATCTTTACAACTTTTTTCCTATATATATATATATATAATCAACAGTCGATCTTAATTTTCGAGATATTCGATAAAATATTTATAATCGCTAATATTATATCTTGAAACTTGAGCATTCCGCGAAAATTAAATTTGTAATATTTATCTAAAACTTGGAAAGATTGAATTGTTTATAAAACAACATTGCACATAGCTTATTCTATCATATCATATTTTTCCATCACAAAGGAAAAAAACCTTCTTTATAATAAAAGAAAATTCTAAGCTTTCAAATAGAATCTTTTAAAAAAGAAAGACAAGCATTACGCGCAATACTCTCGTTACAGAGGAGACGAACAAACCTGTACGGTGGAGGACAAAGGGAGGCCCGGTGGCGAAGGGCTATCCGTGGCGCTGAGGACCAAATTGTAAAGTGGCTTTTGTTCTCTGTCGAGCAACTTTCGAGTGAAAAGGGTGCCGTTTGGTGCCACTCCGAAGTCACCGTTCTCGTCACCGCCTGCGACAGCGTAAATTACCCTCCCGTTATCTCCGGAGTCGAGGTCCTGGGCGGTCACGGATAGGATTGGGGTGCCGATCGTCGTATTCTCCACGATATCCACCGCGTGTGGCCCCGCCTCGAAGATCGGCGCGTTGTCGTTCAAGTCTACCACGTTGCAGTAGACGGTCACTGTCGAGGAAAGCGCCGGGATACCACCGTCCGTGGCCTGAACCACCAGGATGTAGTGTTGCACCTGCGAAACGATCGAGGGAGGATTTCTCGATTGATCGATAAATTGATCGAGGGTCGTGGTTAATAAGAAAAATGGAAAAAAGAAATGAAAAGAGGAGGGAACGAGTTCGGAGAACAATTGTCTCTCCGCCCGATATTTTAAGGGAAATTTTTTTTTTCTTCGCTCCCATCCGCTTGCATCTCGGTTTCGTTAAGGGGGTAGCGCGCCTAACAATTTTGCAACGACTAATACGAGCTTCGTGGAAGCAACGTGTTGTTTCTCCGTTTCCAATCCAGCTCAGATCTCTCCGACCCAACTGTGAACTGCTTTCGCAGCAGCTCCCGCCCTATATCTGGAAAGGCATTACGATGATGAAAGGTTCTATAAACTACTCTTTCTCTAAGTAGTGCCTCTTCGTGTCTATGCTCGTTCTATTGCTTCTCACCGAAACGTTATATTAGATGGTATTATATGTATATGCGTATAACGCCGTGTAATAAACTGTGAATATATCGTTCAATACGGTTATAGATATATGGCATTACGATTTGAAATTGCAGCAAGAGAGACGACGGATTCATCAGCGATAATTTTAAGGGAAATTAAAAAGATTGTTTATAAAACTTGTTGCCTTTTTGAGAATATTTTATACACAATGAATATCGAGTTAACGAGTATTTGATAATTTTTGAAGAATTTTTCAAATTCTTATTCATTGCTTGTTTCATTAATAAAAAAAAAAAAAAATGTCGTTTTCTATTAAATGCAAGACTGGTTTCGTATTGAATTCTCATTACACGAAACAATAGAATGATCCTTATTGTACATAAAATTTTTTTAAATAATCAGATAGAATATAAAATAAATCTATTCCTCTCTCGTTGCTTATTTTCTTTCTAAATTTTAATTTTCAAATATTTCTCTAACGCGGAGAAAATTGCTTTTTCCAATCAATTTTGAAAAAAGGAAGAAAGAAAGAAAGAAAGAAAGAAAGAAAGAAAGAAAGAAAAATCATCACTGGGGACTTCGTGGCCCCATAGAACAGAGTACTTACTCGTAATTGAAAAGCAAGATCAATGATTCTGATGGGCAAAACGAGCGTATACGCTCGTGTCTTGAAATAAATATGGCTTGTCTCCGAAGGATCAGACCTTCAATTTGAAAACGTCTGTTGATCGATCTGTCGGACTGTTAACGCTAAACCCTAAATTCTAGCATAGCCGAAAGCTAATATAATAGGTGCGTTCGAGCTTAAATGTAGAGGCGTGTTCATGGTTATAATCGTTGCCTCGAGCAACTATGCGTTTTACCGTATGTGGACTTCTCGCGTTGATCGCGCTACTAAAATCCTATTCTGTAAATTCGCGATAAGAAAGGAATTGTTCCGGTAAACAGTTATTCTACATTCTATGCCTACCCATTCAAGCCAGTTTGATAAATTATAAATATCGATAGGAAACTTGATTTTGTAAAATTAAGAAAAATTTTCAAATTTCTCGAAATATTAAACCAATAATAACGATAATTATTAATATAATTTAATTAATATGATAATATAATTTAATTAATATAATTAATATGATATAAATTCATATTTTTTCCAAATTATACAAGTTTCATTCTTTACGCGACTTTCGAGATTTTCGAATCTCACGAAAAAGAAAATCGCAAAAAGTTTCGAAGATCTTTTGCATCTTTTTCAAAGTTTTCAATCGTAACAAAACGAATTGAATTGATTAATAACTTCTTACGTAAGAAAATGGAATTCGTTTGCCCGAAATGAAAATGAAGGCATCACGGCCTTCCTGAACGACACGGAATGGAAACGGTCGTTTTAAGAATAATAGCCGCATCCCATAATTCCGTGCTCGAACGTGAAAGCGACATATCCACGCGTCCGAACGGTCTTCCACAAATCATTTTACACGCTTTCTAAATCGCCGTCCCTGGACGATCGACAAGTGGCGCGGTAAAATACGAACCTGTTCGTAGTCGAGACTGGCGGTGAGCGTGAACACACCGGTGCTAGGATTCAGAGAAAAAACGTCGTTGGCCCAGTCAGAAATCAGGGTATAGCTCAGTTGACTATTGGGGCCATCTGCGTCTGCGTCCGTCGCAACGACCTGACCTATTCGACTTCCTCTCGGCATGTTCTCCGGAACGTCGAACGAATACGCGGTGTTCTGGAATGTTGGCGCGTTGTCGTTTGTATCGGTCACCTGTAAAATTCAACGGTTTCTTTCGTTTGATCGATCGATTTATTTTTGTGGGGTTATATATACTTGGTGGAAGAGTTACGTAACTAATTCTGATCCTCGTCGGATAAACAATTTTATAAATGAGTCCGTGTGTCACTCCTTATACGATAAATCCATTTATGAAAGCGATACTTACGAAATAATCTATTCTTGTCTTAAACTTAAAAAAATTAATGTTCAATTGAATTTTTGAAACAACAATTGCACGTAAGATATCTGTTTTTATTACATTTTAATTTAATAAAGGATAAATGTAAATGTTTTCGTATGAGAAATATTCTATTTTTGAGATAAATGTGCACGTAATTTTGCTCTTTAAATTTCGTAATCGAATTTTGAATTTTGATACATTTTTGATATTATAGTATACATTTATTAATGATTATTTTAAAAATTTGTTGGTAACATACATTGATATAGTTTGTACGTGTATTTATAATAATTTAAAAATAGGATAAATTAAATATAAAAAAATATAAGGATATAATAAAAATTTAATTTATTATGTTTTAAATTTATTCGTTGTAACATTTTGATTTAATGAAAAAAAATTGCTATATTATTCTTTTTTGTTGCAACATCGTTTATTATGAAATACTCTATTAAATAAAGTTCAATTTGAAGTCGTTGTCATTAAAAATGAATAATAAAATTAACTTACTATATAGATATATATATATATATACTGAATATAATAAGAAAAACTTAATAATAGATTACTTAAAATGCGTGTGTGAATATGTCATAGTAAATTGATTTATTTTGCTGTCATAAAGTAGACATTATTTTCCAATCCAGTAGAGGATAGTCTTTAAATAACTATTATTTCAATTTCAATTTATTCGATAATAAAATTACTCATTACTATACAAAGATAATATTTTAGATAAGATTTTTTAAATTAAAATTAAGTTTCATTAAAATCGAATTATTCATGGTCCGCTAATATTCATTTTTATAAATCTAAGAAAGTAATATCGAATTCTTTTTTATCAGCAATTTATATTTAACGCGAATCAAATTTTTGAGGCATAATAAAGGGAAGAATATGAGATAGGATAGAAATACGAGATACCAATTTTTTTTGATCTATATAAAATATCGATAATTCTGATTAAATGATTAAATATAACTAAAACATTCGTCCGAGCAATTATTTTTGATAATTATCTTTCTTTTGTTTAATAAATATTTCATGTTTTGACCGTAATAGAAAATTTCTAATTAATTTATTAATTAATTTATTTTGTGATTTTTAAAGAAAAAGAAAAGCTGTAATAATAGTTCATATTCACTATATGAAGATTTGAAATATTCGCTTTTTTTGATTATGAAATGATAAGACAAAATGAAATTGCTAGAAATATTTGATTTATAGCAATATAATTAAAATTTTAGAGATGTGTACATCGTGCTAATTAAGATTATATAGATTCAGAAAGTATAATTTACATATGTTATCACAAAACAATAATTTTCGTTTAATTATATATTTTATCATATTTGAAATCCATCTTTTTCATTATGCTTGGACATTAATAAAATCTTTTTATTAGTAGATAATCTATTAACATAGTTTCATTATTTTATTATTTAAAAATAACAGCGTTTCATATTCTACTATTCGAATTTGCTTTATTTAAAAAAAGTAAAAAAAATTCCATGTAAAATTTCTAAAAAAAATGTAAAATTTCTCTTCACTTAAATTTTTTATTTATTGCTACTGCTGAAATTTTTCTTACATCAAAAAAAAAAAAAAATAAAATCCCAATTCTTTCCTTCTATAATAATTCATTTTTCTAAAAAATTATCATTTATCGTGAAATTATCATTTCAATAATCATTTATTGAATATACATGGAACAAAATTAAGCAAAGAAAATGAAACGAATTCAAGAGTGAAGGATATGCTGATAGACCAAACATAACACGGATCGATTTTTTATCCCCCCGAAAGATATCTTTTGTATTTTTATACGGAGAGGGGAAGGGCGAGTATGGAAAGTATAGGAAGAATAATCGATGTTATTCTTGATCATACTTGATTCATCCCGTTCGAAGAATTGCCGGCGATTCGATCGAGGGGAGAAGAAAGGTAACGGGTCAGGATAAACAATTCAGAATCAGAGCTAACGCTTCCTGTTCTCTTTCGATTGTGCTCAACGTCGTTCCTGAATAAACATATTTCAATCAAAGCTCGGGACAAGCAGTCGCGAGCCCGCTTCACCTTCGAACCGCGCCGCTCCACGAGCAAAGTTTCCTGTTGTTTTTACGGTGGCGATGAATCTCTTCGAGACGAGGCGAACGGCAGGAATTTGAAGAATGTTTTTCCAGAATAAATTCTCTACTCGACTCTCGATTCGATCGTTGCCAACGTAATCAAACCGGGAAATGTTGGTTTAATCCCCTCGGGAGGGGAGAGACTCGAAATATTCGAGCCGAATAATAATAATTCCACCGCCAAGGTTACCAAGAGGGACACCTCGACAGTGTTTGCAACCTGGCAACCTTTACTTTAACGATTAAAAAAAAAAAAAAAAAAAAAAAAAAGAAAAAAATGATCATCGTCAGAGCCGATCTCCGATTCGTCCATCCGCGAAACAAGTTGGGGATATCCGAGGGAAGGATATCGGGAGGGAACGATTGGAATTTATCGCGTGAATAGTCCTCGACCGATCCTATCCTATCCGAATAGAATGAGGAGGATGATCTCGATCCCGGCCGAAAAGTCACCGGGCGCGGCCGGTGAATAGGTTTCCAACTTCGAGAGAGGGATCGACACGCGGTGGCGCGGTATAAAAGAATCAAGCGGAGGTGGGCACGGTTTGATTAAGGAGAGGGTTCGGAGACGTTTGCAAAAAGTGACGGTTGCCCCGAGACGCGGTGGATGACGAGGGGAGAGCCGAAAGCGGAGTAGAGATGACCAACTGGGTGAAAGAAGGAGAGGAAGAAGAAGGGGAGGAAGAAGGAGGATGGAGGAGGTGAGAGAAGGAAGGAGAGGAGGAGGACGAGAGGAGGAGGAAAGTGGATGGGAGAAAAAGGGAGGAGGGAGTGATTCTTTACGGGGTGTGGAGGGAGGAGGAGGTCGAAGGAGAGAAACTCTTCCGAGGTCGGGGAGAGGATGGAAGGGATATAAGGGGCCAGAAGGGGCAGATTCCGCAACTGTCGGCAGCGGGCCTCTTTCATGGAGCCCCAAAGAGCCGAGCTATGATCGGGACTGGCATTCCTTTTGCCTTTAAGAGACCCGGATAGAATAGCGGACGGCGGGCAGCGAGAACCTTAAAAGAATTCCAGCCATTGCACGTCATAAGGATAATTTTTGCGATTGTCTCCGAGGGATCCTTGGCTATCCTGTGCCTCTCCTCCCCCTCTGTCGCCACCGCACACTGTTTCATCTACCTTCGTTAAACGTCTGGCCGCCCTCCTTTGCGTTTTTTCATCGCCACGAATTATCGTTTTGGTTTTGGCCAAAAACGAAGCCCATTGCACGAAAATCGCGTTATTCGATGCTTGGAAAATTGGAAATACGCGATGGCCATTGTTAAGATCGATTCCGTAATGATCGAATATAATGATCGAGTAACGGGAGATCACGATTGATCAAGGTTACAGTAGCATCCCCCGGTATAATTACTGGGGAATCAAGTTGCAACGGGACTCGCGAGAAGGCGACCCTCGATCTCGATATACGTCGTGTTCCCTTCTTCCTTCTTTTGGAACGAAGACAAACAAACATTCTTTTGGAAGGAATGACAAATATACTGTTATTATAAATTTTAAATTTTAAAAGTTTCACATCGAATCGTTGATCATTAAGACACACGGTCGATGGAATTAATTGCATTGAAAGAAAAGGAAAAAAAAAGAGGAATTTCCTAATTACAAAGTACGATGTTTGGATAAAAAATTACGGCGAGTCAAAAGGATGATATATGGAAACGAAAGGTACCTGAATGGTTAACGCGATGTCCGTGTGTTGCAATCCATCATCGGCTCGAACTTTCAGGACATATTTTTCTCTGGTCTCTCTGTCAAGGGCCTCCGCGAGTGTCAGTTGTCCCGTGGTCGGGTGAAGCCTGAACTGGCATTGGGCTTCGTCTTGGCCCGCGTGTTGGCTGGCCGGATCAGCGGGACCCGGACAATGATGCGGTACCAGGGTGTAAGTCAAGGTGCCGATCGTATCCGGATCGAACGCTTTCAGGACCGTGACAACGGTGTTGGGTGGCGCCTCCTCGGAGATTTTGAATTTCCAGGTGCCGGTTCCCCAGGTCGGTGCCACGTCATTCTTGTCTAGAACCGTCACGCGAACCTGTAATTAAAAATTTTTGTTCGATCCTAAGAATTGCTCGTAATTACACGCTGTATCCCCTATAGGGGGATAGAGGAGAGAGTATGATTTTGTGCGTGGGGTTAAGAAATTTCGTTCGCCTTGCCATTCCTGTTTTAACGGCGATCGCGAGTTAATTAATTGAGATACGAAGATATTTTACGAGTCAGTAAGAATCTTTTCTAAATAGAAAACGTATGGATGATCAGATTGGAAAGTGTTAATATGATAAATAAATCGAAAAAAATAAAGAGAGAAAGAGAGGGAAACTTCGTGTCTAGAAGTTTTGTCAGTCGCCAGGATATAATTATGTGCAATCAATATAAATCTACGAGCCGTTGTTGCGACGAAGCCACGGTATGCATGCGAAGAATCGTGAGAAAGTTAGTTTTTCGAACCGACTTGTGCATGTCTCATTTCATTAAATTCTCAGTCACGTCAACGGCCAAGGTTTATGTGACTACCAGAAGCCAGTGTATCGAAACGACGGTCGAAGGAACAACGGTGGCACTATTGGAAAAGCATCGCTCCACCGGTGGGGCTACATCTTTTCGATCGATAAACAGTGACTCTCGTGGAATCGTGGAAAAATTTATCGTAGTATTATTAACCGTACGAGACTTTATATTCAACATAGAAACACTTTTGACGTAGTTCGAATCGCGTTGCGCATACCGTTGAGAAGAGAGAATCGCTACCGAAATACCTTCCCCCCCTCCTCCTTTTTTTCCTCTTCGAATCTAAATTTTTGCTTTTGTTTCGAAACGTGGATCATGGAGGAATATCGTGAAATTCCGAGTGACCGACATCTAAATATCGTTTTTTCGTGATTCTTCTCACGAAGGGGAGAAGCGCTTCATAACTGACGCCTGATCTCGGACGGGACACTGTCGAAGAATACTAAATATGGAAGCACGGATGATCCTCGATCGTTGTGTAATCCACCGGAATGGTGGAACGCATCGATCTTGTTGGTAATTAGTCGGAGTTTGGCCGTCATTGACAAAGTGAGCGCCATCGATTATTGGCACTAAAATGTTTAGGCCCGCGACGGATATTTTGAAATGACGAAACAATAGTCGGCCGCTGTCTCGCAACACACGATTTCAGCGTGACACGCGTATGAATAAATTTGACTTTTTAATTATTTTCCAGTACCGGATCTCCTCTGGCTGCCTTCTTTAAGTAGCTCGAAACACGAATACAATTAATCGTTACGACTCCTGGCCCTGTTCGTTTGTCATTAAAATTCAAAGGCGCGACGGACATCGACGTCCTCGTTATTGGCAAAGATCGAAAACACCGATATTCCTTGCCCGGTCCACTATATCCGCTCTAACGATCCCCTCCCGTGTTCGATGCGAATACGCAGATACACGAAAACCTTAAATTTATGCTAAATCCCGGATCGAATGTGCCTAGACCTCCTCGAGAGCCTCTAGAAAAATCCTCCTTAATTATCGTTTCCTAGCTATCGACAGCTAAGGTTAAAATCGACCCTCCTCTTCTTCGAAATACAATTATAAATACACGCTTACACGAAGAGTGTAAGAAAGTGCCAATTATCAAAAATGCGAAATTTATTTTTCGACGACGAAATTTAACGACGATAACCTCGTGTTTCGTTGTACATTCACGGAGCGTGGATGGATTCGACTGTATCCCGAGAGAGATCGAAATCGAGATCGAGTAGAAGCATCGAAACAGCAGCGAAATTTTGCGGAAAGGGATATCGGATGTGGATGGTCGGTCGCGTCATCGTCACGATCGGGGAACAAGAAGACGGGGACGGCAACAATAAGCAGACAAATCAGTGCGGTCATATAGCTGTCTTGGATAGAATATTCTCTCTTCTTTGCTGGCCGGTCGCGGGAGGAGAGAGGGGCGAGGTATATGGGCGGTAAGAAACGCCCGGAGAGAGCATTCGGAGTGCAAGGAAAGATGGTATCTGCGTCAGCGCGGTCGGGGATCAGCGGATCGGATCGAGTCGCTCAGCGGGGGTTTCTTTGGGTCATGCACGAAGTGAGTCCCATTCTTCTGTTGCCCCCTTCACCCTGCTATGCCCCACGCCCCCTCTCCTTTCTTCTTCTTCTTCTTCTTCTTCTTCGTCTTCTTCTTCTTCTTCTTCTTCGTCTTCTTCTTCTTCTTCTTCTTCTTCCCTGCTTCCTCCACTTCTTCGTCCTCCTCCTCGTTGTCGTCGTCGTCGTCGCCGTGGTAGTCTTCCTTTCTTCTTCGTTTCCTTTCTTTCTCTCACTCTCCCTTTTTCTTCTCTCACACGCTTCTGTCTTTTCTCAGGACTCGTACTCTCTTCTTTCCTCGCAAGAGTCCCTCTCTGTGTCCCTCCTTGTTGCTCACCTTCGAGCCAATACGACGCTCGTGGTCCTTCTTCCTATATGTATATATATATATATATATATATATATATATGTATGTATGTATGTATATATGTATACCTTCTCTGCTGTTGTCCCTTTTATCGAACGGGGTCCTATGGGTTCTCTATGAGGGGTCGAACCACTGACATCGCTCGATTAATAACGTATCTTCGTGGGGGCCCCCATAGACCACGACGACAACGACGAGGACGACGAACGGGCAGAAGGAAAACGATGAGAACGGGGACGAGAAGGTGGACTTTAAAGCCACGGAATTCTGTATATATTCCCATCGGGGACAATAAGATATATATCTATTAATAATTCCCCCTTTGCCGTCTCTCTCTCTTTCTCTTTCTCTTTCTCCTCTCTCTTTCCGTATGCTTTTTTCGGCGGTGTCTGACGAGATAGAGATATTTAGTAAATGGAGGTGCATTAGCTCGATCGTTTGCGTTCATTCTACTATTTTTATCGAACAAGATTTGGGTTCTTGTATACACATATACGACGAATTCCTTAACCGGCTAGCTTTTGCCGGGACAGCCATGCCGGCGTATCATTTTTTTTTTTTTTTTTTTGGACCTTCTAAAAGCCTTCCAGTTCCAGACAATTGTCCGCAGACATGTGTCCGCAAATAAACGTGCGTTCTCTATGTGCAGGGATAAGTTTTCAAATGGAGGACAAAATACAGATTCGAGATAGTCTATATTTAATAACTACTTTATCCTCTGTTGGTATGTAAGAAAATAAGAGACGATCTTATCTTTTGCGGATAAATAACGAAGAAAACTTTTCTTTCTATTTTTTCAAGTATAATAACTTAGTGTTTTTATAATAAAATTTCGAAATCAATTTTACAAATATTCTCAGTAGAGTCTGTCTAAGAAGATTTTTTCCAATACGACAACGACGAGGTACGTCTCGACGATTGTTCGATAGTTTTCTACTTCTCTTTTCTTTACGCGTAACGTGCACGAATATTCGCGAACTTTCGGGCTCCCACGTCTCCCGGTGTGGACGAGGCTTTACTCGAACAAATTTCGAAGTAGTAACAGCTTTTACGCCAAAGGATAGAAGTTGAAACCGCAGAAAGAGAAGAACAAGAGTTGAGCCGGAGTGTTTCTCGTATAGAAATACATATGGCGTTCGTGGTTGTTTAGCGAACGATGTCCCTATACGAGTCACACAACCCATGAGACTTCTCCGTTGGGTTAATAACGATTCTTCGAATGGATTCCCATAGGGTACGGGTAAGTTAAAGGGTAGACTGTAATTCCGTCTAGCGGCTGGAGACAATAAGATATATATCTACGGTTCTTACGACTAATAGCTTTGTTTTCTCTCGAGTGGCACGACACCGAACGGTCCATCCGTAAACGGGCTTCACTTCACCGTAGATATGTCTACGTCAAAGCAGCCTTGCCGATGAATACTCGCGCTTACGTTCGGGTTAACTTGTCTTTCGATCATTTATAACTTTCTGTCGCGCCGAATGCAAACCTTTGCGCCCCCTTGTAGGGCACACCGTACCACGTGAAATATGCTGGAAAAATAATCCGAAAAAAGAAAGAAACAACTCTTCTTACTCGTCGACCATAAGACGAGTGAACAAAAATTAACGAACGACCTTTCATAAATAATCGGTCGAAGTCGAAAATGGTAAATATCGCTCGAACGAAGAAGAAGAATTCGATTTGTTAAAATCTTTGTATCTCTTAATTAGAAACTCACAATTGAATTCAATAATAATAATTTTGTCACCGTTTGTCTCCTCGAAAGGGAACACGCAGAATGGAAAGGATTGAAAAAAAAAAAAAAAGGAAAAGAATTTGCAATTCGAAGTATCAAAAATTAAACGGTGATCACCCCTGTCCTTGATCTTGCTCCGTTCAATATCTCACGCGAGGCCCGTAAGATTTTTGCCCGTAATTTTCCGAGGATGAAATTAAACCGAGGCGAGGTTGTGTTGGGGCGGTCGAGTGTAATAAAATACAACGATCATCGGCGGACAACAACGTAACGCGTATTAATGAGCATTCTTTATGCACGGACGGGTCCAGATCGCGGCAGCTTCTCTTATGTAACCGTCCGCGCAACCAGTTACACACTTGGTCCGCGTTGTAAGTATGTATCTTTATTACGAGTGATATGTTGGTCGGCGTACGCGCGCGGGCACAACCGCGGGCTTTTCGCATACTGCGAGCGAACATCATGAAAGGAATTCTACGCGAAACCCCTGCGTAACTGTATATACATATATAAGATTCAAGATATATCGAGTTACCGTACGATTAACTCGTGAGTGGTGACGTTAAATTCTCCCGCGACACTCTCCGCTCTGTGATAAACATACTAATTTATGGGCGGACAGGTCAGCGTATAGTAAATGTATTAAATTAGGAAATTCAAGTAGCCCTAACCAGTTGTTCTTTACGCACAAGATACATCTAATTTTAGGATATGATCTTTTCTCGAGGAGTATTATTTCAACCATTCTTTCTCTTCATTTCCATTAACCGATTATTAAATACGACTCTTTTAATCCATTAATAATTTTATGATCTGATTGTAATTTTTCCACCGATTGGCATTTACAACGTTTGCCAC